AGAAAGAAAGAAAGAAAGAAAGAAAGAAAGAAAGAAAGAAAGAAAGAGAGAGAAAGAAAGACTGAAATTGCTAACTACAGGTCCTTGGTTTCCATATTAAAAAAGAAAAAAAATCTACTAAGTCATAGATTCCAGTGTGTAGGAACTTGTACTTTAAAAAGTCATGTATGTTTTAAACTAGATCTATAGATTCTAGACAGTGCTTATGCAAAATACTATGTTTTTTATCAGTAGAAAATAATTTCACAATCTCAACACTATTATATATTCACATTTGTGACATAATTTGTATTACATCCTTAAATCACATGTGACTTCATTGTGTGCACAGAGATTTCAATTTTTCTTTTTGATAGTTATTCTCTTAAAGGAGAGCATCAGGGAATGAATATGTCTAAAATACGTTTGTATTTGTGTATGAAACTGGCAAAAACTAACCATAAAATTATAAAAATGTAAGGCTGAATTATAAATATGAGCCACATTCTCTTTAGGGATTTTATAAATGTAACAAGTTTCTGGAAACTGAAACATCACATATTAAAATAGTGTGGTTTTTTTTTCCTTCAAAACTTATCACCCAAATCTCCAAACTCCATCGTGCTCTAGGATTCTGGTAGTGGCCCTTCCAAAACTTGCAGTCACTGACGCTTCAGAACAGATTCCGAATGTGGCAATTGAATCCAGCACTCCTCAGTAACATCCTATATATAGACTCTGATCAAACTGAAGAAGCATACTTTCAGAGTCCCAGGTCAGCATGTCCTTGCATGCCATCTCCCGCTGACATGTCATCCAAGGCCTCCCCTTCCCTCCTCCTTCATCAGCCAGACATACTCTGTCCTTTTAGGTTTAACTTAAACATCACTGAAGAAGTGCGTTAAGTTCCTACCGTCTCCATCCAGGCCTTCCTGTGTGCTTGCTCGTGGTTGCCTCCATCTCAGCCAGGTGACCACAGTGACTATGTTCTTCTCCATACCCCACACTTCAGCTCGGGTTAGAGCATACCTTTAGCATTAGGTGAAGCCTAACAACACATTGATACCATGCAGTCACAATATTAGCTTCTGCTTGTCGCATTGCTACCATATTGGGCACCATGCTGAGTTCTCTGCAAACATGTTATTTACCCTTTAAGAGTTTAGCAAAGAGAAAGGGCTGTTTATACTTGAAGTACCAGTTAATCCTGAGGCTTATCAGAAACTTGCAAAAGATTATGTAACTACTTGAATCAGACTTAGAATCTGAGCAGTGTTCTCTGGCCCTAACAATGGTATTTTAAAACTTCACAGCAAGTGAAATTCTACACGTACCATCTTGGTCTGTTTTCTGCTTTTCTAAAAGACTCTCACAGATCAATAAAAGCTTACTTATCACATGGGCATGGAGGCCAGAAGTCTAAGAATGCCCCCCTGTGTTTCATGAGGATCCTCCAGCTGCATGGTAAATGTTAGAAAGGCTGGTAGGTTTATGTGAGGCAGAGAGAGGAAATGGAGTCAAACTCATCCTGTTATCAGGAATCCATCCCTACAATAACCCATTGCCACAATAGCAACCTTAATCTATGTACAAAGGCAGAGTTCCCACAAAGCAGTCACCTCTTCAAGGTCCCTTTAAAACTCCAGTTACCACGACAATTAAATTTTAGCATAAGTTCTAAAGAGGACGTTCAAACTTGAGCAGGCTCAGATTGCACTCAATTACAAATAGCAATTTCTTTTGATGATTTCTACTCAAACCTCTTCTGTATATAGAACATTGAGGGAAAACGAAAGTTCTTTTAGTCATTAGAATACTTCACAAGCCTGTCAGGCACACCTACACGGAGTCATGAGTACCATACGTGTGCACAGTCAGTGAAGAGCAACACACACACACACACACACACATACACACACACACACACACACACACACACACCAGATTGTTTTAATTGAAATGCTTAGTTTGCAAAACTTCAAGAGTCACAAAATAACTATTAACCACATCAATGAAAACTCACCAAGTCACTACAATAGAAAGAGAAGTCCCTTTAATGAAAACCTTACAAAATTATCCCAAATTGCACGTGATTTTTAATGGACTGCAGCCACCCTGGGCATGGCTATTTTATTTCTTGGACAAGAGTTAAAATATATTACTTATGCAGAAAAACGGTGAACATTTCCAACTACTAACACATGGCCTGTGAAGAATATAATAATCTCTTTTTTTTTTCCCCTCTTGTGTACTAACCCTCCATTGGGCGGCAACCATGTAAAATGTGCTAGTTTCCTGTTGCTATAGCGGAGCCTCCTTTTTCACTCACCACGAGACTAAATAGCTACTTCTTGGATAATAAAGCCATAATACTGAACTTCAAGACACTTCCAAAATGTTTCTGTCTTTAAAAAAAAATTAATCATATCAGTTTGCTAATAAGCAGAGATACTTTGGAAGTTGAATTTGTTGCCACAAGTGGCCAAAAAAATATCATACAAATCAAGCCATAACTGAGGAAGGAACAATACGTTTTATATGTTTCTAAAAGTTATGGCTGGGATCACAGCTGTAATGTGTTGGAGTATCATCAGGAGAACAATGTCAAACACTGAACTTCTGGGTAATTTCCATAAAAAATAACATTTTGTTGGAGGTCAGTAATTCCTGTACAACCTTGGAATGATTTTGTTGACTATTTTTTTAAAGAGTTGAACTTGAACACCCTCAAGGCGGCCCTCAAACTAAAGATATTATGTCATCCAGTGCTTGCAAGCACCTCCTAAAAAGAAACCCCAGCGTGTGAAAACTAGCATTGTCTCAGCCTGTGAAGCTTCATGGAGCTTCAATTATGCAACATAGTCAGAAAAGGAAATTTGCTATTCAGTTTCTGTTTGTTTGTTTGTGTAGTTACCTCATTCAAGTCAGCTCTGCAAATATGTAGTGTGGTCATTGAAACCAACAAAAAGACCTGGGTTCTGTCTTTATAATTCACGATACTCCTCAATGTGGAAAGAAAAATGAAATTGGCAAATCAGTGAGTTCAGCTTGGAAGCCATCGCTGACTTAGAAGCCATCGCTGACATATGTTTAGCCCTATATGCCTCAAATAACTTCATATTTGTTTCGCCCTCCTCTGGATGCTCGTTTTTAACTGTCCTACTAGCATTCAAAACTTGGGCATGTATTTTGTTAAATTCAACAAGGCAAGTTTTCTTGAAGTGATTGGAAGGCTTCGTAAATACAGTCTCATGACAAAGCTGCTCATGGCATAAAGTCATTAATGCAGGGAGATTGAGGTGGCCTAGTATACATATGAAGCATTAATAACGCCACTCCCTGGGCTTCCTTAACGAGAGCATATAACAAGAAGGGCCAAACCACTGAATTCAATATTTTCAGCCTGTTTCAGGACATGAAAATATTCTGGTCCTCTCACACAAATAATTTTTCCAAAATACTTTCATCCATAGTGCCTCATTGTAGGCAGACAGATTTTAAAGTTTGCATAGCTCACAGTGTGGGGTAAACATACAAGATGTGTCTCACATTGCAGACCAGTTGGTTCCAAGTTTTTATTTATAATGAATTGATTTGGGTATAAATAACTTCCTATTGGTACCTATGTGTTAATGAATCTTACAAAAACTGTGTCCTTAAAAATCATAAATTTTATGTTAAAAAAAGTGTTCACCTAAGGAAAGTTAATGGTCTATTCTTAAGGAAATAGAAAAAAAAAATGTAACCATTTTGATGTCTTGGCCAAATACTCACCAAAAATTTTCATAGTTATCTAATAAAATTGAGTGAACTTCACTATCCATGCTGGCTCCCTGTGAGATACAGTGTGCCTGCCCACACCAATCCCTTTAGAGTCATGTTGATTCCTCAGACTCACAGCATGAGTCTGAGCTAAATCTATGTTACAATCCCAGTTCAAGGCAAGGGCCTCCATGGAATACAGCATACATCCGAGAAATACCTGCTAGATTGCTTCAAAACAAAAAGTTTCTGTCCTTGTAACTTATACCATAGCAGTATTGATAAATGACATTCAACACTCTCTGTACACAGAGAAATTGCAATGCAAATTAACTTCAGTTTGTGCTAAAATAAAGCATAATTATCTTGGTATGCATTATGAACTATTATTTCAGTATTTGTTATACAAATCAATTCTCTTCTCTTAGGTAACATGCAAATATCACCACAGCTTGCAAATATATAACTGCTATTTGTAAATTCGAATATAAAATATGAATCAGATAAATTTACATATTAATGGAATTTTCTGATGGTAAAAAAATTATGTAAAGTTTTTCATTCAGCATGCATGTGACTACCATGTAAAAATAAATCTCTTAATTTTACTAGTCACAAAAAAGTCTATTGGTTTAACAAAGTCACAGAGTGAAAGGCTTAAAGAATATATAGTTACCTATGAGTATAATATGTAACTTTAGGGGGGAAACCTTCTCTTTTTAACAAGTTAGCATAACCAAGGAGAATATAACTGAATACGATTTTTTTTAAATTAATGTCCTTTTATTTCAGGGAAAAAAGGAAGGGAGAGAAAACGGAAAAAACTTAATAAAGAAGAAAGGAAGGAAACAAGCTCTGACAGCAAAGGTTTGGAGTCCAGCAGAGAGATCCCAGAGCAGCGGGAGAACAAAGACAGACAGCAGCAGCAGAAGAGAAAAGCCCAGGATAAACAACAGAGATCGGTATCAGTCAGCACTGTACACTAGAGAGGCCTGTGAGCTTACTGTAGACTCGTGATGCTGCTATCTCAACCAGATGTCCAGGACAGGTGTTCTAGCCATTAGGACCATAAACGGACAACATCAGTTACCACTCTGTCTAAACAACATTCCGAATAGTTGCTATATTCTTCATACAAGCATAGTTAACAGCAAAGAGCCAAACGTTCAAAGAAGGGATACTTTCAGATGGTTACCTTATATGCTTCTGTGCATTTTTGAAAGACGAGAAAAATTGTACATAATTATCAATAAGCTGCAAGCTATCCTCACATTGATGACACCTGGAGAAGAAACATCTTTTCCCTATTAAAAAAAATGTTATTCAAGTAATCGTCTTTAAGAAGCAAAAGATAATTCTACAACTTCAAAGGTGCAGTGTCCCTGAAAACACAGGTCAGGGGAGAGAAACATCACTCCAAGAACAGGGTGGGTTTGTCCGGGAGATCTAGTGAATGCTCAGAATTAGGGCCTGGCATTTGGAATCCTAGAGTTTATCATCACAGAAGCAAGTTCTTTAAGATTACTTCTATTGCCCTCATCGTGTACTTCTGCAAGAAACTGAGAGCATAACAGAGTTAAGTATGCCGTGTGGGACTGGAGCAAAGCAAACTGTGGACAAAATCATAGAGCTGGAGAGATCATCTTGATGTTCCAAAACTGTGCAGGGTGTGGCCACCGGGAACAGGTCTCCGGTCTGTGTGAGGGCTGTGTGGTTGATCATCTGCTACACCTCAGTTTATATAAGTCTGTAAACACGTACCTGTAACTCCCTTCCAAGAGCAAAACCATACTTATTAGAAGAAAAATTCTGACTTTATAGAAATCAAAAACTAGAGTGAGGCGAATGTGACATGTTTGCAAAGTTGTGTTTCCTTTCTTAAGGAGGGAAAAACAATTCTATTACCTGCTTAAGGGTCCACCTGGAACTAAAGGGGTACTACTTGCTGACAAGGTGTATCTAGTAGGGGAGAAAGCCACCACAATAAATATATTTGTTCATAGTTTTTAAAGCTTGGCGCACTTTATTTTATTGGGTAAGATTTAGAGACTCAAGAAGTAGGAGGAAGAAATCTGCTCTAGAGGAGAACCGGTGTCTGACAAATTTAGAAGATTCTTGGAGCTTCCTCCACGAATCCATCATTGCCTGAGCCAATAGAAGCTTATGTATGAGATGCTAGGAGATATTTATTATTACCTTCTTTTCTTACTTTAATAAAAAATTTATTACAGGCACCTGAGCCTACCTAAACGATGTCACTGCCCCCTCTCCGTTCTTTTTTTTTTTTTTTAAGGTAAACACTTCAGGTGTCAGTTCCTCCTGCATCTTCAACACTTAGCCTTTACTCTCGTATTTCCTCAGTTTGTGGATCTCTTTTGGGAATTGGAGTCACCCTGGCAGAAATCCTCAGCCGTGTTTTCCAGAGGACCCAGCCAGTCCTGCACAGGAGGAGGCAACCTCTGAGTGTTAGCACAGATTCTCATGACCCCCTTTAGTCTTCCACAACAGGACAACATGCAGCTGCTCTGGGGACCATTCTTCCAGCCAGCCCTCCCAGGGTCACTGCCTTCTGAAAAACCTGCACTGAATCTGCCTCCTACCTGTCTGTCTCTGGACGCCCTTTCTTCGCCAACTCTACTGCCCATGTGGACCTCTGGGATTAATGGTTTCCCATTTCTCTTTTAAGATATAAAAGTTTTAAATACTGCATTCCTGTTTCTCACTCTGGTGTCTCTTTTCTCAACTGCAAGCCATAAGTTTTCCAATCAACTGCATCTATACTCTCTATTTAGGATAGTTCTCACACAAGCTTCATAAAAACTTACATTACCCGAGGGAGTCAAACCTCACTTTACAGAATTATGTTAAGAAGTTTAACATTATTATGTTACGTACTTTAAACTCCATTTAAGAACTTTTGGTTGTATCAAACAGTATCTCTGTTTTGGCATTATCCTGTTGAGTGTGGATAACCACAATATTTTTACATGTACTTATCTTTATTAATATCTTCATTCTTTGACCAACATTTCCTGGTAAGGTCTAGGAAAAGAATACAGTCCAACAAGATGGAGCTGACAGAAGCAAATTGTTGTCATGTCTTCCCATTTGGCCCTCTATACCACAAAATGTTAATATCTTTGATGTAAAACTTAAATATTAATTACAATAGAAAACAATTACAACTAACATTATTCATACTTTGGATAGAATATACATGAAGATATATGATAATAGTTTCTATTAAAATTTCACTCCACCATGGAGGATCCTTAAGCATAAGAAATCCTATAATACTCAAATAAGCAGCCATCCTTGATTAAAGTCTCACCACTGACTTACGGAAAAGTTCCTGGACTCAATTTAAAAGGCATTGGTGATAGTAACAAATGTCCAGAAAATTCTTGATATAGAAATAGAATTCAGAGAGTAGGTAACATCACATATCTGACAGTACCTAGTTCATATCCCCTGTTCTAGTCTCCAAATTCTACCTCTAAAACTCCAAAGTATGGATTTATAGCTTTCTATCACCTGAGCACTTGTACCCAGAGATCAACAGTGATTGGTATGCCATTTAACCCCTTGGAGTTAAGTCATTGCAACAAGAAATGGGGGTCGGGAAAGGAAATGATTCACAGGCCAGAGAACATTCGACATTTCTTCCACATCATAGTGATGTTCCTAGCGAATCTTCACTGGTAATGTGTGTCAGTAGTAAAATGGCTGACTGAATTCTTTTTCTGTAGCATTGCAACTGTCTTCAGGAAAATTAGAGGGAAAGGGCTTCTTTCTCAAGCAAATGTAATATGAGCTATAACTCCTCACATGCTGAGGGAGTATATGCAGAATTCATTTTCTACAGAAAGGTTAATTAAAGCCCTTGGTCAGATCAATTAAGAATATTTTAATTCTTTTCTAGCATATATTAGCTGTGTATTAAAATGGGTTTCGTTCTATGCCCATACATTTTTCCTATGTGTGCCTAATGTATTTTGATCATCTTCACATTTCATTACTTGCTCTTGTCCTCCTCCTACTTGTGCTGATCTGTTCCTCCTGTGAGCTGGGTTCCCTTTTCTTCTTATGTCTTTCTGTTTTGTTCTGCTTTGCTTTGCTTTGCTGTGCTTCCCACTGAATTTAGTTAGTGTTGCTTATAGCACCATGGGTGAGGAGGGTTGGCTTACAGGCACGGGAGCACCTTGCCAGTAGCTTCGCCATTACAGAAAACTGTCTGTTCCTGCTTCCATTGACAGGTTATAAATCCTCACATAAACGTGGGGACCCCATGATCTCTCCTTCCCCAGGGACATGTTGTTGACTACCCCAGTCTCATGCAGATCTCCTGCAGCTAAGCACAACTGTTGTGAGTGCTACAGTGTCTGCAAGTTGCTTCTCCACAACCCTGCTCCTTCCTTCAGCTCCTGTGTCCTGTCCACCCTTCTTCTGTGATATGCCATGAACTTCGAAGGAAGACCTAGTAAATGTCCCATTTATCACTGAGCCTTCAACGGTCACTCTGAAAAAAAAAATCCCATTTTAAGCAATGATACCTATTCTCACTAATTTAACAGATTATTGTTTTGTTCCAATGTTTTGTTATTGTTGTTTTGTTTTGTTTTTAGGAAAACTGAAAGAAACAGGTGGTTCTCGTTTAGAGTAACCAGTAATGTTCTCAGGAAGATGCACTATGAGATTATGCCAAAATCTCTCTAAAGAAGTTAGTGATATCCATGTTTCTCAAACGAGAGACTTGAGGCACACAGAAGTATCCGAAAATCATACACATATTCAGTAAGCCTGGAAGGCTTACCTTGCTCCTGTCAACTCCAACCTCTTTTCACCATATCTTCTAAAGTCATAGTCCCAAGATTGGCTACTACATGTCATGATCTAAGAATCTACCTCATGCAGAAGACTGAGAATTTCTATTACAGGGATGACCCAGGATAAGACTTACCCCTAAATTGGAACCCAGCTATGGCTCCCACCATGATGGTGTAATAAGTGAATGCCTTGAGCAGCAAGAGGACTAAAAAGGAGAACTGCACATTATGTGCCATTGAATAAAAACAAAGATCAGTCCAGAAGAGAAGAGCAGATCTGAATCCTGGGAAACATCAAGTTTTCGTACTCCCTTAAGACTCTGGAGTAGGTCTCAATTCAGTTGTCCTCTGTTTACACAGTGATGACCAGCACTGTCATCTTTTCCTTAGTCCTCATGCAGATACCCAAAAATGCAGAAAAAGCATCTTCAGTGTTGGAACAGGCAAAGCAACCTCAAAGGATGCCTCGCTGTCTTCAGCCACGCTCAACACTGAGTACACATGTCCTAATGCTCACACATCTTTCGGTGTTCATCTATTTCATGTAACAAAGAGATGAGGGTGGAGAGGAAAGTGACAGTGGGAGAAAGGATAGACAGAAGGAACTGAAGAGGAATTCCAAGATAGGAATGACTTTTCTTCCGAGCCATTAAGATACAGAGATAGGAAACAACAACAACAATAAAAAAAAAATCTCATTTTCTAGGAAATTAGCACCATAAGCATTTTAGCCGACAAAATTACATAACCATTAAATAATGTGGTGTATGCATGTCAGTATCTGTAATCATAGGCAATGAAAATTGTTCAAAAATGGAGAAGGTAAGATTGGCTTGGCAGATAACATTGCTTGAGCACTGGGCCTGACAACCTAAGTTTGACCCCCTGAACTCCCAAAGCAGAAGGAGAGGGAAGACTCTTCAAAGTTGTTCTTTACCTTCCACATGTGCTTTATGGCATCTGGACTCTGAACACACATGTACAAACACACACACACACACACACACACACACAATCAATCAATCAATCAATCAATCAGTAGAGATTAAGAGATTAATTTTTATTTGTAAAGATGGAGAATTGGCAAATATCAGGAAATGTGGTAACGTTCAGTATTGAACAGACTGCTTGTCCTTCTCCATCCCTCACACCGATGCTTCACTGCGGATTTCATTCTTGGAGGAAACTATTCAGCTCCTTCCCTAAAAGGGAGGCAACAGAAGCCCTAACTTAGGTGATCACTCCTTTGAGAAGCAACCGATCCCTCTGGTTGGTTTTCTATAGCTGCTGGCATTGGAGCTGCATTAAGAGTGTCATGAGAAGAACAACTGCAAATACTGTGATGCCCAAAAACAGTGAAATAAACTCTAACTAAATCTTGAAGCTTGAACCAGAGTCACTTGTGAGTCAGTGAGTACTACCAGATGTGGTCGTTCAGACCTGCTCGGTTCCAAGCTGCTACCCATCTGACTTCAGTACCTTAATATGACTAAAGAAGAGAAAAAAGGCATCAAATGCCCCCCAAATATATTTAAGTCTTATCCAAACCATCAGTGAGTATAATTTATGATCCTGAAGGACACATAGAAGTAGACTCACTTTAAAGAAGTGAGTCAGTTTCCAGCCGAGAACTCCTGCTCTTCATTGCTAGTTTTCTTTTAATGCTGGAGTTTTCACGTTGAGGAGAGGGGAGGGTGAATTAGTGTACATAGTCAACATTTGCGTTTGTTGACTAGGGAACGTTGAAAGATCAGCTTGTTATGTACACACGAAGGGGTTAAGAAAACACGCTTGAGTCGTGTACACAGAACATGTAATAGAATCCAAAAGGGTTTTATTTATAGAAAGAAAGAAATCATTTTAGAACATGCTTGTCTAGGTTCTCTGGACGGTCCAAATTTATGTCATCACATTAGAACAGATCATTCACTCACAAGCACTCTTGAAGGCCTGAACAATTTGCTTCCATGCCTACACCCTTTCCAATACCCTTCCCCAAGAAATCAGTCAATTAGATAACAGATAAATACTAAATGGGCAAAGTAAGATTAGGAATCATTAAGTTACAAAGTAAAACTGTTTAATAAGGATCACTTATTCGATGTTTAGGGTGGTCCCTGTGAGACATGAGTATAAAACAAACCAATAGATGCATTTTTCATCCATGAGAAGGCATCAT